TTTTTTTCTTTTTATTTTTTTTACGCAATGGAGAACAACAATGCCCCCCAAAAAAATATCGGCATGTAGGGTTCAAAAAACTCTACACGCCCATTTTTTTATTTTTATTTTTGTGCGCTAAAATATAGGGAAAAAAAGCTGCACCAAACTCGGCTGGTCGGCCGTGGCCGGACCCGGCCGATTCGGCCGACGGCCGCGGCCGCTGCCGAGTTTTCGGCCCCGGCCGTGACCGGGCGTGCAATATAGCCGTGCCCCATCCGTTCATAAGGTATGATTGGGTTAAGTCGGCACACGAAGTGCTGTCCAGCACCACGGTGAGGGCTTTCTGTACGATAAGATAAGGCCACGCTTGTGGCTCAAATTTACCAGCTTGTAATTGCAGACTCAATTTTGAGTCCAGCACCACGGTGAGGGCTTTCTATACGATAAGACAAGGCCACGCTTGTGGCTCAAATTTACCAGCTTGTAATTGCTGACTCAATTTTGAGAACCAGAGACTGCAGCTCACTTTGCCGTACGGATTACAGAGGCGACAATTGACAAGAATGAATGGTATTGGTCCAATATTCTCGACGATGGTAAATTCATCGTCCGAAATTGTCAGGTCTGCGCCGCTGACAAGGCGCCGATTCAGCCGCCTAGATCGATAGTGCCCACTGAAGTCCAACGACCGTTTCAGAGGGTTAGCATGAATACAACGGATATCGTCGTGCCCCATGCGCCGAATAGCTGAGAATATTCAATCCTCTTGGTGTTCGTTGACCACTTTTCAAAATGGACCGAGGCCTACCCATGTCAGACTAAACAGACGGCGGAAATAGCGTGGTTTGTCAACCGTTTCCTCGGGTTGCATCAGGACACCGAGGAAATACTTACGGACAATGGAGCAGAGTTACGAGGGGAAGTTATGAGGAATTTAGTCATACATGGAGTGTCTATTCGTAATACTGCCCCCCATATGTCTCAATCGAACGGTCTCATAGAAAACGCCAACCGGGTCATCAAAAGGGCACTCTGACGGAATATCGCGGCTAGGGACATGCAGCCGTGGCCTGATATTGTGGATCATATCTTGGCTGTACACCGAGGGACTCCGCATGAATCTACGGGACTTTCGCCATTTCAATTACGAACCAACAGCCTAGCTTGCGTCTCGGTACCGAACCTGAATGATGAAACGACACTCGACCGACGTCCCACAAGAGCAACGACCAAGGAAAAGGCAAAGCGCCATTTGGAGCTTATGGAACGGGCCCTTCCAAGATTGGCCCAAAAAAGGCAGAGAATGACCGAATTGGCCCACGGCCGTCAGGTCCTCAGTTGCGAGGCCCGAAATGGGAATGCAGGTCCCCGGCCCCATTATAAATTGGGGGACTTGGTGCAGGTAAGGAAATGTGCTTGTCAAGGGAAATTAGCGCCACGATTCTTCGGGTGCTTTTGAGTGATCGAGCTTGGACCTAACGCAGTGAACACCGTGCACCTCGCTCTCGAAGTGGCAGGTGGTCGGTCAGCTAGACCCATAGTCCGCCACGTGTCCTATCTCCGCCATCTCTCTGCTTCCTCCCCTCCCTCTCCAACTGGATCGCCCTCGGAATCTGAGTCCGAGTGGGAAAGCGACGTTCCCCATTCTCATTCTTCTCCCCATTCATCTTCTCCCTCCTCTTCGCCACGAGTTTTTCGGAATAGGTACTCAATGAGCGGATGCTAGCGCCACGCGGACACATCTCGGTGATCAGACAGGTTCATCATCCGCGTTTCAGCCCGGACGTCATCCGATTTGCTTCGTTTTTCAACACGGCAAGCGTGCATGCAGCAGCAGAGTTCCGATTCGTAATACCCAACAACAAGGCGCAAGTGTTGGCCGAAGCATCGACCTTTCTACGGCTCTTGGTGCCCGGGACCAGCCACATCTCGACAGTTGTCTCCTTTAGTGGAGACATGACCACGGTGGATCCAAGGGCGCATCCGAGCATCCTCGTCTCGCTGCGAGATTGGGGGGAAGAGTTGGCGAGTTCCCGGAGTCAGCTGCTTGCACGGCGGGGGGAAAAAGTCGTCAATACTAACAATATTGACCTGGACGGCATCCGTGCTCTCCGGCAGAATCCCGCGATACCTCTCCCTGCGCTCACCGCTTTCTCGTGTCCTCAATGAACCGTCACAGGTTCTCCACCTTCAGCCTCCCCTTTGTCTTCCCTGTCTTCTGGCAGTCGGCGCTCCATCCTCGTCTCTCTTTCTGCGTGCGGCCGCTGACGGTTCCTCTCATTAAGCCTGAACAGTGGCAAGGGTGGTGGCAAACTTATGCGACTCTGTCTCTGTGTTTAGTCTTGATCAGACTGAAGTGGACCAGGGACAGCGAGCACCCCGCCGTGAACGAAGACGTAGAGTTACTTATCATTCAAGCTTGGAGAACGGGTGTAGAAGGAGATTTGTTGGGATTCGTCTTCGGATCGGTGGAAGCGGTACATCGACAGCCGATCGTGGGGGAGCTTCTAATCCTCCTGACGCAGCTTCTGGACGATCTACCACTCGACGTCATCTCGCACTGCGACGAGAGTCCGGCGCCGCATATTCTTTCGTGCAGCCTGACGCCGTATCTTCAGCGGTCAGCGTGCTTGGAGGGTGATTGGGACAACCGTAGTTACCCCTCACACAGTAACTACCTAAACCCCGCAGAGATAATCGATCTTCTCTTCTTGGATCAAGGTGAGACGACGTCAGAAGACGAAGAAGAAGAAGAAGAAGAAGAAGAAGAATACGAGGAAGACAAGGAAGACGAGGAGGAGGGAGACGAATTGAAAGATACCTCCGAGGAGGACGGGTATTATAGCGAGCATAGTGAGCACGAGTCGGGGGCAATAAGCGAAGGAGAAGAAGAAGAAGAGGAAGAGGAAGCAAGTGAGAAGGAAGAGGCGGAACAAGCGGGGACACAGGGAGAGGACCCTGCGGAAGCAGAACGGCGGAGGGCAGAAATAGCGGAAGGAAAGCAGCCACTAGAGCAATCGGTGGGAACTGAATTGCCCGTTGCAGACGATCCAACCCGAGACCAAGAGCCGCCTACAGAGGAAGATGAGCGCTGCGCTGCAGAGACTTCGAGCGCGCCGACACGGAGGCAATGGAGCCGCTCCCCCTCCCCTTCCCCCCGTCCTTTAGTTCGAGCACGTGCTGATGCGGGGCATCGGGCTATGTCCCCGGTTATTATCTCGTCGTCCCCTTGATTACCTCACATTCTGGCAAATCGATACCCCGCTCACATTTCCCCAAAATCCCTTCCCCTCTTCCCTCTTCTACCAATTCTACACTACCCGCCTCGCCGCCACAGTGTACCCGCATCCCACTACTCAGTGCGTCTTCCCCTCCTTTTGCCTTCACGTCCTTTTTTTCAGGGCCGCGTGGCGGGATCACAATGTAATTGAAGTCTACTGCACTATCACATGAACTATTCCTGTGTGCGCAGATCACAAGCAATTCCGCGCGGCCTTAGTTCGTACCTTTTCCACTCTCTATCC